ACGCAACAGCACACCAAGCAAAGAAGACACGCACAGACACACAAGCAAGCACGGGAGAAGGAACGCGCGCCAGGGTGGCGCCCGCCGCGCGCGCACTCGCGCGCGCGCGGCGCCTTCCCAATGCACCATACGCCTGCGAAGCGAGCGCCGCGGGGCCAGCGCAGCCTTTCCCCGCGGCGCGCACTGCCTGAGACAATGGTGCATGCGAAACGCGTGCGCCGCGGGGGTGCCGCGACGACCCACCCCCGCGGCGACCCCTCCCTGGCGCGCGACGGCGCGATGGCCCGCGCCTGCGCAACGAGGCCACGGTCGCGTCGCGCTGACGCGTGCGCGACCTACGCGCAAACGTGGCCGATTTGTGCCCGCGTACAACGGTGGGCCTCCGCGTCTACGAGCCTCGATGCACCGCCGCGCGCCTACCACAAGGCGTAGACGGCGCCGAAGCAGCTGAGGCTCTCGCGACGGCAGAGCGCCACGAGGGTGCAATGGCCGAGGACGCGCTCGATGTCGCGGCTGGTGACCCTCGGCCGTCGCTGAACCAGGTAGCTCAGGCTTTGATACAGCTTCAAGAAGCGCTTCGAAGCAAGCGCGGCGCGCGCGGGGCGCCCATCCAGCTGCCCGCCTTGCATCACCATGGACTCTGGGGCGTCGGTCTCGTCGTGCACGGCGAGCCCAGCAACCTCCAGCGCATCTAAAGCCAGCCGCCTGACGCGCGTCACCCCCTCACGGTCGGCGCCCGCAGCGAGCGCATTCCCCACGTGAAGGGAGCGGGTCGGCTCGTCGAGCGGCGAGGGCGGCGGCGCGAAGTCAACCGCGCGCAGCTCGGGCCTGAGGGCGTCGCAGCCGCCCAGCACGCGCTCGCGGGCCTTCTGGGCGAAGCACAAGGCCCAGCCCCAGCCCGTCGGCGCGACGGCGGGCCGCGGGCAGAGGAGCGTCCAGGGTGCCACTCGGCGCCCGCCCATCCTGCCGATGCCAAGCTCGCCCGCGGCGACTGCGGGCAGGCAGACGAACGGCTGCAGGTAGGCGGGCAGCTCGCGCTGGCAGAAGGCGTTCTGGACGTCGACCCCCGCGAAGTAAAGCGGGGCCCCCTCGGCCGCCCCCGGGTCCGCGAACCCCGCGGCCGAGAAGAGGTTGACCGATGGAGGAGGCTGAAACCGTTGGCTGCTCCTCCGACAATCGAGCACCACCCTGACACGGGCGCAGTTCTTGGCAACGAAGAACACCCCGACGCCCTCAACCCTGGACATCCCAAGCACAAAGACGCCTCTGGAGGTCCCAGACCTCACATATTCCATGGACATCGCGCGGCCCCTCTCGAGCACTGGACCCATATATAGCCCACGCCCCCCGTCCTCCTCCACGACTGCGTCGAAGCTCGGCGGCGGCAGCAGCGCAGCGTGGTCGAAGTCAAACAGCGCGCAACGATCGCCAGGCCCGAGACGGTCAGCAAGCCAGCCAGGCCGGTTCCCAAGTTGGGGCCAGCTCACGAGGCGCGGCGCACACGGCCTCAGCGGCAAGTCATTTGCCGCGTCAAAGTGTAGACGCGGGACGGGCGGCCCAAAAGCTCTGAACAGGCTTCCTGGGCCGACGCCACCGCCGGGGCCTCCATCTGACGACGAAGACGGCGAACGCGTCGAAGTAGAAGGTCGCCCATATCCGAGCGGCGCTCTGGCGCGCACCGCGGCGCACTGTAGCCCCCAAGCAGGTTGAGGCACTCCACGGCGCCCCGAGCACGCCCCTCGATGGACTGAGCGCGTTGGGGACGTGCCCGAACTGAACGAGAGAGTCCGGGCGGAAGGGGGCGGAGCAATTGGCGCAGCGGGCACAGAAAAGAGCAGCACCCCATCGCCAGGAGGATGGTCATCAAGACCGACAAAACTGGCTCTCGCGAAACAACGGGCGGGTCGAGCTACCTCCCGTCCGCTGGCTCCTAATCATCCCTGCCACATCTTGCCAGAGGCGGCGCTCTTCTCCTCGCGCGCCTTCCTCCTATGCCTCTGGATCTCGGCCCCCTCGGCCAGCTACTCGGTCACGCACTTGGCCAGCCCAGTCGCGACTGCTACTCCGCGGCGGGCGCCCTGCATCGAGCGGCCGATGTAGTACTCGACCCCCGTCGATCTTCATGATGCCCATGGTCCATGGTCTCCTCCACGAGCTGGCTGGTTCTGGCCATCACCTCCATGCAAGCCAGGTTCGAGCCATCGACCTGGTCGTAGGTCCGCGCGAACTCGACCCAGAGCCCAAGGAGGTCGTGGAAGTGCGCCGCCGCCGAGTCCTTCGCGCGGCCGCTCTCGCTCATCCACTTGGTCTGGCGGTCATCAGGCGCAACGCCGTGCTCCACGGTGCACTCGCAGAGCCACTTGTAACTCCGCTCTCCAGACAACGGGACGTCGCCCAACACCTCCTGCCGCACGGACGCCACCGACTCGCGGAAGTCGAGGCGGCGCCGACCCTTGCGGTTTCTGGCCAGCGAGCCCAGGAGCCGAGCGTCGCCCCCGCCCCCACCAGCTGGCCGGGCAGGAGCCGCCGAGGGAACCAGCTCCATGGGCACGACGAAGCCAGAAGGCAGCCCGTGGAGCCCGCTCTCGCCCCAGACGACGTCGCCCGCGATCGGGAAAATCTCGTCGTCGCGCTCGATCTCCGCCCCCGCCGACTTGCCAGCAACCCAGGTTGACTACCTACCAAACCACCCAAATCCAACCCGAAGACCCGAATTTCGGGTTGGGGGGGGTACGAGCTTCATGCGTGTTTTCTCAACGTTCCCCGGCCCCCCCTCACTGGAAATGGATGGCAAATTGGGGCCTTCGGGTTGGGTTGGGGTGGTTTGGTGGGCGGCGACAGGTCACCCCAGGAGGCGGCGCCGCCGCGCTGAGCAGCACGCGGGCACCGACAGCCCCGGGCGGCGGGGTCGGGGGCACACCGATGCCCGCCGGCTCGTCGTTGGCATCGTCCCCGACCGAGCCCAGGTGGCGCCGCAACGGGCGCGGGCAGAGGCGTTGCAGCCGCGAACGGGAGGCCTCCCGACGCTGGCGCCAGCGCAGGTGCTTTCAGCGCCAGCCGCCGATAGAAACCAGGAACATCCCCGAAGCTGACCGTGGTGAAGCCCCCCAGCTCGTCGCCGTTCCGCACGTACGTCGCAGGCTCGGCGACGTCCACGCCAGCGGCACGCATCTCACGCCGATGCCGCCCGCAGCAGCTCTGCCTCCGAGGGATAAGCGCGGAAGCGGTACACGCGGCCCGCGGGCCGCTGGCGAGCGGGCGTGGCCCCGAAGGTCAGTGATGCCTGGTCGGGACCGTCGCCGTCCGCGCCGCTGGCGATCTCCTCATCTTAGACGTCGCCGTCAGGCGTGATGATGGCCCACCGCGTCGCAGGCCGTTGCGAGTCGGCGGGCCGGATCAACACGCGCTCGTGCCAGATGCCGCGGTCGTCGCCGTAGTGGAAAGTGACGACGCGGCCTGGCAACAGCTCATTGAAGAACTCCGCCGCCTCGGCGGCGCTCCCCTCGGCCCTGAACAGCTGCAGGCGCGGCATCACCACCATGTCGACTCGAGCGGTTCCGGCAAGATCCACACGCGGCCACGATCTGCGTAACGATGCCCGTCACGACGAGCCCGAGGGCGTGCGCGTAGAAGGACCCCGCGTCCGAGCCCTGCTGAGCCTGCTGCGAGCGGACCTCGCGGAGCTCCGACGCCAGCAGCGCCAACTCCGAGTGGAGCCGCGCGAGGTCGTCCAGGCAGCCCGACAGGTTGCGGGCGTAGGCGGCCGCCCGCTCCGCCTGGCGCGCCGCCGCCGCGGCCTGCAGTGCCGCCGAGGGCGGCTGTCCAGAGGAGCCCCCGCCGCCGCCGCCGCGCACGAGGCCAGGCCACCAGGCGTCCAGCGCACACCAGGCACACACGAGGAGCCACGCGGGAGCCTGAGGGAGAGGGGGGGCGCATAGAAACGCAGGTGCTCCCTGGAGGTAACAGGCTTGAGCGAAATAGAACGGACTCTGTGCATCACCCCCTGCACGTTCGCAGGACAAGTCTCATTATCATCATTACCATCACCACCAGCATCATCATCATCATCATCATCATCATCATCATCATCATCATCATCATCATCATCATCATCATCATCATCATCATCATCATCAACATCATCATGATCAGCATCATCATCGTCACCGTCGTCGTCGCTATCGTCATCGCATCGTCATCATCACCACCCGCTATTTCCAAAGCATACAGAAATATCATCATCATCCCCCGTTGTCCTTCTTCTCATCCTCATATCGCAGCTCCTGTGCGTCGTCAGTATCATCATAACCATCATCAGCATAAAACACCAAAACCACAATCGCCATCATCAGCATCACAAGCAGCGACCGCATCATCGTCATCTTCATCATCAAAACATCTTCAGAATCATCAGCATCATCATCACCACCATCATAATTGTCAGTTGTATTATCATCAGCAGCAGCGGCAGCGGCATCATCATCAACAGCATCAGCATCATCATTATTAGTAGTATTGGTATCAGTATTGTTGTCACCAATATCATCGTCGCCATCATCAACATCAACCGCAACCGCAACAGCAACAGCAGCAACAGCAACAACAACAACAACAACAACAACAACAACAACAACAACAACAACAACAACAACAACAACAACAGCAACAACATCACCACCAGCACCACCGCCACTCCTCTGCATCCGCATCATTATCGCCACCACCATGACCACCATCACCAACGCCAACACCGCCACCACCTCCACCATCACCGTCCCGTTCTTATTCTCCCTACCTGGGGAAACTAAAAGGTACCGGTGCCGCTACTCCCTGAATGTCTCTCAAGGTGGGGTCTGACCAGAATGTCGTGGCAAATCCACAGGGGGCCTCACAGGGCCTCACGGGGGGCTCAAAAAGGCGAAAACGAGGCAGCGGCAGAGGTGTGGGCACCTTGTCCTCCTCTGGCTCCCTCCTCCCCCATCCCCCCCATCCCGAGCCGCCTCCACGAAACGGTAGGAGACGTCCTTCCGAGCCTCCTGGGGTTGCGGCTGCAGCGCTCGCGCGCCGGCGGGAGCACCGCTGCCGCCGACGCGTCGTCGTCGTCGTTCTGGTGCTCCTCTTCACTCTGCTCAGCTGGCCAACCGCTCGATCCCGCTGGAACTTGCTCCTCCTCCTCCTCCTCCTCCTCCTCCTCCTCCTCCTCCTCCTCCTCCTCCTCCTCCTCCTCCTCGCTCCCCCCACCCACCCACCCCGGACGGCCTGCACGGCGTCCGCGTCCTGGAGGGCGTCGGCCCCGTCGCCGCCGTCGCCTTTTGAGGACCCCTCCTCGGCATACCACGACTCGCACGGCGCCTGCGGTCGTCGTCGTCGTTGCTGCCGACGCCGCCGACACCGTCCTCCTCGGCGTCGAACATGGCGTCGTTATCATCGTCGTCGTCCTCCTCCTCATCCTGCTCATACTCCTCCTCCTCATCATTCTCCTCAGCGTCATCGTCCTCGGCGTCCCACGATAGCGAGGACGATGAGGAGAGGGAGGAGGGGAGCATGTCGGTCAGCGTGTTCCGCAGCGAAGCTTGTGGCAGACTTTGCGAACCAGGGGGTACGCCATTGCGAAATCGGGGGACATTTGAAGAATGGAGGGCTGGCCGCCATTTGAACCATTCCAAGATAAAACATAACAGCATAATCATTTTGAATTCTTCTGGAGGTGAAGCCTGGCCCATCCTAGATATCTAGCTGCTATACTGTTGTCGAATTGTTGACTTCTTTTGGATGCTGGGTCATGGCCCTGTTTTATTGGAAATCAGTTTGAAATCCGATTGGAATCCGATTCGAATCCTGTTGGAGTCCTATTGGGATCCTGTTGGGATCCTCTGAAGCCCGAGCCTGACCAATTCCGACTGCAACATTATCGGCATCGGATTGGGGCCCTATCAGATCCCCTGAAGATGGGGCCTGCAGGTCTGGCCAGCAGGGAGGGGGCGCAAGAGGGGCCCAATTCAGCCCAAGAGTACCTCCAAACGGCTCAGACCCCAAGACATCCCACGAGGCCCGAAAGGGACCCCAAAGAGAGCTTCCAGATGTCAGAATCATGATGTTTATCAGGTTTCGCGTGCTCGTGTTTTGGGCTTTAGACAATCCACGACGGCCCAACAGGGACCGCCCAAAAGGGTCCCAATACAGCCCGACGGGCCGCCGCTGGTTTGTGGGTCTCCGCCCTTGCCATGTCCAGGTCCCGGGTTCCTACTACTGCCTCCGCCTCGTCCAGGGCCACCTCCAAGTCACTGTCCTCGTCCCCCTCCTGCTCCTCCTGGTCGCACGTAGCGGCTGGGTTGAAGGGCGGGGAAATGAGAAAGTCCTGGTGGTTGCACTGCTGGTCGTAATGGTGGTGGCGGTGGTGGTCGTACTCGTGGTCGTAGCGGTGGTGCTGGTCGTGGTTGTAGTTGTAGCTGTGATCGTGAGCGGTTTCGTCGTAGTCGTAGTTGTCGTCGTGGCTGGTCTCGGCTGGAACCTGGAGGACGATGTACTTGTACTTCGTGATGTGGTTGGTGTTGTGGTTGTCATGTTCCCTCCAGTCGTTGCTTTGCGCCTGGTCTTTGTCCTTCAGGTGCCTGGGGATGACAGGCCTTGCCCCTGACCGCCGTGGGCCCCCACTAGGCTATGTCTGCTGCGCGTCGCGTGCTAGGCCGCCACACATTCGGGCAGCCCTCCGCAGTGCCATTGGTGCTCATGGACTCGGTCGTCGGCGGGGGCGGTGCCAGACCCGCGACAAGGGACAGCGGGGCACAGAGGGCCCCTTGCCGCGGGCGAGGCCGGGCATGGCCGCCAGCGGCCTCTGGGTGCCGCATGGGGTTCGCGGGCACCCGCCATCACACGGGCCGGGCTCGTCGACCGCACGTGGGAGGCTGGCGCCCCCCCTTGGGGCGCGTGGGGACTTCCCGCACATGGCACATGGCGACTTCCTCCTGATGTCCTCCTCCTCATCCTCCTCCTCCTCCTCCAACTCTTCCTCCTCCTCCTCCTCCTCCTCCTCCTCCTCCTCCTGCTCTGCTCCTACTGCACCTCCACCTCCTCCTCCTCCTCCTCCTCCTCCTCCTCCTCCACCTCCTCCTCTTCCTCCTCCTCCTGCTCCACCTCCACCTTCACCTCCTCCTCCTCCTCCTCCTTTTCCTCCTCCTCCTCCGCCTCCTGCTCCTCCTCCTCCTCCTCCTCCTCCTGGTTATCCTCCCCCGATGCCGACGAAGACGGCGCCGGACAACAGGCGCCGACGACGGCCCAGAAAACGACGACGGCGACGACGTACCCAGACAACCACCACCGCCACCACCGCCGCGCCAGTGACCACGACCACGACCACGCCACGACGGAGACGGCGACGACCACGACGGCGACGACCACGACGGCGACGACCACGACGGTGACGGCGACGGCGACGGCGACGGCGACGGCGGCGGCGACGGCCACGGCGAAAGCGGCGGCGGCGGCGGCGGCGGCAACGGCGGCGGCGGCGACGACGACGGCGACGACGACGGCGAAAGCGGCGGGGCCTCCGACGAGGAGGGGGGCATGTCCTGCAGGGCGGGGGGGGGGGGCGCTCCGCGCGGCGCGCGCGAGCGCGGCGATCCGCGACGGCGATCCGCGACGGCGATGCGCGACGGCGATCCGCGACGGCGATCCGACAGGCCCGGCGGGATCGAGGCTCGAGGATCGCGGCCCTGAGCAATCGGTGGTCGAGGCCCTGGAACGTCGAGGACCGAGAGGTCCGAGGCCCCAGAGGCCCGAAGGGCGAGGCTCGAGCACCGAGGCCCTGGAAGCTCGAGGCTCGAGGACCGAGGCCTCCAAGGCCCTGGAGGCTCGAGGGTCGAGGCTCGAGGGCCTCCGGGTACTGCAGCGAGGGAGCCCTGCCGAGGCCGCCGGCGAGGCGCCGCCGTGGTCTCTCGGGATCGATCCGACCCCTCACCGCCCGCCCGCTGCGCTCCGACCACTCCGATCCGCTCCCACGAAACGAAGCCAAGACGCGAGGATAAATCCGGATGAACCGACGATCTCTGAGATCCGGCGGCTCTGGAGGACGCAACGTACCAGGCGCCGCGGCTGCTTCCGAGCTTTCAGGAACGTTCTGAGAGCGTTGTGGAACGCTCTGGAAGCTTTTTCCTCGTCCTATCTCCGTCCGATCCCGCCATCGCCGGGGCCCGCCCTGCTTCCGCCCGCCCGCTTCCGCTCTGGCCGCTCGCCGCGCCCGCGGGGGCCCGCCAGGGCCCGCCGGGGCCTGCTGGCTGGCCATGATTCGAGGATCAACAGCGGCATAAACATAAACTGTCGGAGGGCCACGCGGATTTCTTGAATCAGCTCTGGACCCCCCTCCCTGGCGGGCGGAGCGCGCCAGGGACCGCGCCTGATACGCCGCCGGGGGGGAGGGGCGACCCAGCGCAGATCCAAGAAGTCCGCGCGGAGCGCCGAAGGTGTATGTTTATGCTGTGTTCTTCGTCGAATGATATCCCCCCCCCCTTGTGAACACCTCCCTGCTTTGACCCGCGCCTGACCATCTAGCACACCCTGGCGCCCGCGGGCTAAAAAAGTGCACAGTCGGACCTAGGCCAGAAGAGCAGCCCTCGAGAACACGACCCTCCGCTGGCCAAAACGCACAGAGAACATCTAAGGGTGCCCTCCCCCAGCATGCACCAGAACATCCAACCAACACGAAGAACACCAGGGCACCCTCCCCGAACCGCCCTCGACCTTTACCTCTGGCCGACCCGTGAACACACACACACACACACATTCACACACACACACACACACATTCACATTTTCACACACTCCTGGCAACCCCCGACCCCCCCCCCCTCCCCGTCTGGGGCTCTCCGTCGGCGGCGCGGGGGGGGGGGGGCGGGCCGTGGCCTCCCTCGGCCCGCGGTTCGGAGGCGGGGGGGAGGAGGAGAGGAGGGGTGGGTGCGACGGGGGGGGGGCCACATCTGCCATCGACCATGACGCCCATGACGACGACGACCACCACCACGACGAGCACGACGACCACGACGACGAGGGCGGAGACAGGGAGGAGGGAAGAGGAGGACGGCCACGAGGACGAGCAGGACGAGGACGAGGAGGATGGGGACGAAGGGGAGGGGAGGTGTGCAAGCTGGGTGCGCTCGCGCTTCGCCTGCCATCCTACCACTCCAATCCCTTCCCATTGCGCTGATGGTTTCTCTATCCGCAGGGGCGTGCCATAGCCGACCTGCAACTCGAACAGGCAGACCCCATCGTTTTGTGTGCAATCGGGATAGGGAAGAGAGGTAAGGAAGGAGCGTTTGCTTCTGCGCTGCGCTGGGAATCCATCGTACGATGAGGCCCCTACGACGACGAGAGGGCGCAAGGAGAGACGAAGGAGGGGGAGAGAGGAGAGGGGGAGCGGGGCGAGCTGGGTGCACTCGCGCCATATCTGACGTCCCACACACCCACCCCCTTCCTTACCATTGCGTAGAGCCCCTCTCTATTCGCAGAGTCCCTGGGACTCCTCTTCCCCTGGGCTCCAGCTAAGCCGACCTTGAGCAACCTCGCAATTGAGTCGAAGGGAAGCCCCTTCCCTTTGATCCCTCCCCCGCCGTAGGGGGTGGGGGTGTCGGGTCCAGATACGCCGCCCCCCACCCTGGGACTCCTCTTCCCCTGGCTCCAGCCAAGCAGACCTTGAGTCAACCTCGTAATTGAGTCGAAGATCGGACCCCGCCGGGAGGGGGGGGGGGGGTCGACCCCTCCCCCCCGGGTCAGATACTACGCCCCCCCCGGGGCTCCTCTTCCCTGGGCTCCAGCCAAGCCGACCTTGAGCAACCTCGTAAGTGAGTCGAAGGGAAGCCCCTTCCCTTTGATCCCTCCCCCGCCGGGAGGGGGGGGGGGTAGCGACCCCCCCCGGGTCAGATACGACGCCCCCCCCTGGGACTCCTCTTCCCCTGGGCTCCAGCCAAGCCGACCTTGAGCAACCCCTGGGCTCCAGCCAAGCCGACCTTGAGCAACCTCGTAATTGAGTCGAAGGGAAGCCCCTTCCCTTTGATCCCTCCCCCGCCGGGAGGGGGGGGGGGGTGTCGACCCCCCCCCGGGTCAGATACGACGCCCCCCCCTGGGACTCCTCTTCCCCTGGGCTCCAGCCAAGCCGACCTTGAGCAACCTCGTAATTGAGTCGAAGGGAAGCCCCTTCCCTTTGATCCCTCCCCCGCCGGGAGGGGGGGGGGTGTCGACCCCCCCCCCGGGTCAGATACGACGCCCCCCCTGGGACTCCTCTTCCCCTGGGCTCCAGCCAAGCCGACCTTGAGCAACCTCGTAATTGAGTCGAAGGGAAGCCCCTTCCCTTTGATCCCTCCCCCGCCGGGAGGGGGGGGGGGTGTCGACCCCCCCCCCGGGTCAGATACGACGCCCCCCCCTGGGACTCCTCTTCCCCTGGGCTCCAGCCAAGCCGACCTTGAGCAACCTCGTAATTGAGTCGAAGGGAAGCCCCTTCCCTTTGATCCCTCCCCGCCGGGAGGGGGGGGGGGGGTGTCGACCCCCCCCCGGGTCAGATACGACGCCCCCCCCTGGACCTGGGCTCCAGCCAAGCCGACCTTGACCTCGTAATTGAGTCGAAGGGAAGCCCCTTCCCTTTGATCCCTCCCCCGCCGGGAGGGGGGGGGGGGTCGACCCCCCCCCCGGGTCAGATACGACGCCCCCCCCTGGGACTCCTCTTCCCCTGGGCTCCAGCCAAGCCGACCTTGAGCAACCTCGTAATTGAGTCGAAGGGAAGCCCCTTCCCTTTGATCCCTCCCCCGCCGGGAGGGGGGGGGGGGTAGCGACCCCCCCCCCGGGTCAGATACGACGCCCCCCCCTGGGACTCCTCTTCCCCTGGGCTCCAGCCAAGCCGACCTTGAGCGACCTCGTAATCTCTTGCTGCGCATTGCGAACAGGGTCGGCGGCACCGGCCGTCAGGCCTTCGCAATCAGCTCTGGACCCCCCTCCCTGGCGGGCGGAGCGCGCCAGGGACCGCGCCTGATACGCCGCCGGGGGGGAGGGGCGACCCAGCGCAGATCCACGAAGTCCGCGCGGAGCGCCGAAGGTGTATGTTTATGCTGTGTTCTTCGTCGAATGATATCCCCCCCCCCTTGTGAACGCCTCCCTGCTTTGACCCGCGCCTGACCATCTAGCACACCCTGGCGCCCGCGGGCTAAAAAAGTGCACAGTCGGACCTAGGCCAGAAGAGCAGCCCTCGAGAACACGACCCTCCGCTGGCCAAAACGCACAGAGAACATCTAAGGGTGCCCTCCCCCAGCATGCACCAGAACATCCAACCAACACGAAGAACACCAGGGCACCCTCCCCGAACCGCCCTCGACCTTTACCTCTGGCCGACCCGTGAACACACACACACACACACACACATTCATTCACACACACACACACACACACACACACACTCCTGGCAACCCCCGACCCCCCTTCCCCCTCCCCGTCTGGGGCTCTCCGTCGGCGGCGCGGGGGGGGGGGGGCGGGCCGTGGCCTCCCTCGGCCCGCGGTTCGGAGGCGGGGGGGAGGAGGAGAGGAGGGGTGGGTGCGACGGGGGGGGGGCCACATCTGCCATCGACCATGA